GGCCAGTCTGGCCAACATGGTGAAACCCCATCTCTACTAAAAATAGAAAAATTAGCGGGTGTGGTGGCACGTGTCTGTAGTCCCAGTTACTCTGGAGGCTGAGGCAAGAGAATCACTTGAACCTGGTAGCCAGAGGTTGCAGTGAGCCAAGATCACACCACTGCACTCTAGCCTGGGTAACAAAGGGAGACCCCATCTCAAAAACTAAATGAATAAAAATTTAAAATGAAATAAATAATTAAAGAGAAAATTTATTATTTATTATTATTTTTTTTTTGAGATAGACTCTCACTCTTGTCACCCAGGCTGGAGTGCAGTGGCACGATCTCTGCTCACTGCAACCTCCACCTCCCGGGTTCAAGCGATTCTTCTGCTTCAGCCTCCCAAGTAGCTGGGACTACAGGCTCATGCCATCATGCCCGGCTAATCTTTTTATTTTTAGTTTTTAGTAGAGACAGTGTTCCACGCCAGCTAATTTTTTTGTTATTTTTAGTAGAAACAGGATTTCACCGTGTTAGCCAGGATGGTCTTGATCTCCTGAACTCGTGATCCACCCGCCTCGGCCTCCCAAAGTGCTGGGGCTACAGGCATGAGCTTATTTCTTATTTTTTGAGACACAATCTCATTCTATCACCAGGCTAGAGTGCAGTGACCTGATCACGGCTCACTGCAGGCTCAACCTCCCAAGACTAAGGTGATCTTCCTATCTTAGTCTCCCAGCAGCTGGGACTACAGGCATATTCCCCCACACTCAGCTAATTTTTGTATTTTTAGTAGAGACAAGGTTTCGCCATGTTGCCCAGGCTGGTCTCAAACTCCTGGGCTCAAATGATCCACCCACCTTGGACTCCCAAAGTGCTAGGATTATAAGTGTGAACCACCACACCCAGCCAAAAAAAATTTTTTAAAGCTTTGCTGGCCAGGCACAGTACCTCACACCTGTAATCCCAGCACTTTGGGAAGCTGAGGCAGAAGATCACATGAGCACAGGAATTTGAGACCAGCCTGGGCAACATGGCAAAACCCCATCTCAAACACACAAAAGAATTAGCCAGGCGGCATGGTGGTGCAGGCAGGTAGTCCCAGCTTATTTGGGAGGCTGAGGTGGGAGGATGGCTTCAGCCCAGGAGGTGGAGGTTGCAGTGAGCTGTGATTGCACCACTGCGCTCTAGCCTGGGTGACACAGTGAGACCCTCCCTGTATCAAAAAAAGAAAAAAAAGAAAAGGAAAAGTTTTGTCAAATCCTGTTCTAGAACAATCTACGGCTGCCTCCTTCCTGTTCTCTTGCTTATTTCTTATGTCTCCTTGACATCAGAATTCACTTCTTTCCTTACCCATCACAAATACAGGTTGGCCAGTCAAGAGCTGCAAAAGGTTCATTTACATCTCAGTATCTTGAATTCCTTGTTGAGCCCAGGAGGCGGAGGTTGCAGTGGGCCGAGATCAAGATTGCACCACTGCACTCCAGACTAGGCAACAGAGCAAGACTATCTCAGGCCGGGCGTGGTGGCTCACGCCTGTAATCCAAGCACTTTGTGGGTGGATCACCTGAGGTTGGGAGTTCAAGACCAGCCTGACCAACCATGGTGAAACCCTGTCTTTAAATAAAATAAAATAAAATAAAATGACTTAAGAATGCACCAGACAGTCTGTGCTAATCAGTTAATATGCACTTCTCCAATGGGATAAGGTCTTTGGGAAAACTTAGAGACTGTGATATCACCTTTATAGGCAAGAGTGACAATCCACTGCCTCCTGATCTCCCTCGTGACTGCCACTAAAAAAGCCCATCCCAGAGGTCCGCAGGCTCCTATAAGCACCAATCCCTGCTACAGATAAGCTCCAGGCACAGTGGTTCATGCCTGTAATCCTAGCACTTTGGGAGGCTGAAGCTGACAGATCACTTGAGGTCAGGAGCTCGAGACCAGCCTGGCCAACATGATGAAACTCTGTCTCTACTAAAAATACAAAAATTAGCCAGGCATAGTGGTGCTTGCCTGTGATCCCAGCGACTCGGGAGGCTGAAACAAGAGAATCACTTGAATCCAGGAGGTGGATATTGCAGTGAGCCAACATCATGTCACTGTACTCCAGCCAGGGCAACAGAGTAAGACTCCATCTCAAACAAACAAACAAAAACAGATAAGCTTGGCAAGACCTAAATTAATCAATCCTTGGTCAAGAATCACCCATCTCCTTTTTTTTTTATTTGAGATGGAGTCTCACTCTGTCATCCAGGCTGGAGTGCAGCGGTGTGATCTCGGCTCACTGCAAGCTGCGCCTTGCGGGTTCAAGCAATTCTCCTGCCTGAGCCTCCGGACTAGCTGGGACTACAGGCACATGCCGCCACACCCAACTAACTTTTTGTATTTTAGTAGAGAGGGGGTTTCACCGTGTTGCCCAGGCTGGTCTCGAACTCCTGAGCTCAGGCAATCCACCTGCCTCAGCCTCCCAAAGTGCTGGGATTACAGGCGTGAGCCACCGCACCCAGCCAAAGAATTATCCCATCTTCTGACCAGGCACAAACAAGTTTTCTTCGGTATAAACCCAACATTCCCTCTCCCTAGGACCCTACACTGTGAGAACACATAGTGATACCACCACCAACACAGACAAGGTTCGTCTGGTGGGTCCGTATCAGGCAGGCCTATGAGCCAGGGAACATGGATCTTTCCTGAGATTCACTGTCTTGGAAGTTTGAAGTGAAGGTCACATCACTAGCTACACAGGAGCTCCCCATTCCCCACACCCAACTGAACCCCCAGCCTCTCGGAGGTCGACACAGAGCAGCTTCCTCATTGCTCATGTACCAGCTGGTTCCCTTGTTCGCTAAACACTTGCTTGGCATGAGGAAAAGAGACACAGGGAGAGCCTGGCACTAAGTACCATGAAACCTGACTAGGGTCTTTCATGGGCTGATCTGTCTCTTTTTTTTTTTTTTTTTTTTGAGACGGAGTTTCACTCATGTTACCCAGGCTGGAGTGCAATGGCGCGATCTCAGCTCACTGCAACCTCCGCCTCCTGGGTTTAGGCAATTCTCCTGCCTCAGCTTCCCAAGTAGCTGGGATTACAGGCACCCGCCACCACACCCTGCTAAATTTTTTATTTTTAGTAGAGACAGGTTTTTACCATGTTACCCAAGCTGCTCTCAAACTCCTGACCTCAGGTGATCCGCCCACCTCGGCCTCCCAAAGGACTGGGATTATAGGCACGAGCCACTGTGCCCGGCCAATTTCTGAGTAAAGCTGACACCATCTTCTCGATTTCCTAGAGTTCTTTCTCTACCCTAACTTACTACAAAAGGAGGAGATTCCGGTTGCTTCCCTCTCACTTCTCTCTCCACCCTACTGACATTCCTAAACAGAAACCACCATCCTCTTTTGCTTACAGGGTGATGGTAGCAATCACTAAGAGAAACAAACAGATGGGAGAGGAAACAGACATTAAAAGACAAGTAAATAAAAATAGGGGGCGGGGGCTGAGCACGGGGGCTCGAGCCTGTAATCCCAGTAGTTTGGGAGGCTGAGGCAGGGAGATCACTTAAGGCCAGGAGTTCGCGACCAGCCTGGCCAACAGAGTGAAACCTAGCTCTACTAAAAATACAAAAAAATGAGCCGGGCATGGTGGCACACGTCTATAGTACCAGCTACTTAGCAGGCTGAGGCAGGAGAATCACTTGACCCCGGGAAGCAGATGTTGCAGTGAGCCGAGATGGTGCCACTGCACTCCAGCCTGGGCGACAGAGCGAGAATCCGTCTCTCTCTCTCTCTCTCTGTCTATATATGTGTATATNAAACAGTTTCACTATGTTGCCTAGGCTGGAGTGCAATGGTACAATCTTGTCTCGGCTCACTGAAACCTCTGGCCCCGGGGTTCAAGCAATTCTCCTGCCTCAGCCTCCCGAGTAGCTGAGATTACAGGCAGCCGCCACTGAGCCTGACTAATTTTTGTATTTTTAGTAGAGGCGGGGTTTCACCATCTTGGCCAGGCTGCTCTCAAACTCCTGACCTCATGATCCTCCCACCTCAGCCTCCCAAAGTGCTGGGATTACAGGCGTGAGCCACCACACCTGGCCAACAATATCTTTCTCAAAAAGCACAAAGTGGCTGGGTGTAGTGGCTCATGCCTGTAATCCCAGCACTTTGGAAGGCCAAGGTGGGCAGATCACTTGAGGTGAGGTGTTCGAGACCAGCCTGGCTAAGATGGTGAAACCCCTTCTCTACTAAAAATACAAAAAAATTAGCTGGGCGTGGTGGCAGGTGCCTGTAATTTCAGCTACTCGAGAGGCTGAGGCAGAGGCTTGCTTGATCCCGGAAGGCAGAGGTTGCAGTGAGTCGAGATTGCACCACTGCACTCCAGCCTAGGCGACAGAACAAGACTCCATCTCAAAAAGAAAAAGAAAAAAAAAAAAGCATAAAGTTTGCCAGGCATGGTGGCTCAGCATGTAAACCTGTAAACCCAGCACTTTGGGAGGCAAGGCAGGCAGATCACCTGAGGTCAGGAGTTCAAGACCAGGCTGGTCAACATGGTGAAACCGTCTCTACTAGGCCAGGTGCAGTGGCTCATGCCTGTAATCCCAGCACTTTGGGAGGCTGAGGCAGATGGATCATGAGGTCAGGAGTTTGAGACCAGCCTGACCAACATGGTGAAACCCCATGTCTACTAAAAATACAAAAAAATTAGCCCGGCATGGTGGCGCACACCTGTAGTCCCACTACTTGGGAGGCTGAGGTCAGAGAATCGTTTGAACATGGGAGGAAGAAGTTGCAGTGAGCCAAGATCTCACCACTGCACTCTGGCCTGAGTGACAGAGTAAGATCCTGTCTCAAAAAAAATGAGAGAGAGAAGGAGGTAATGTGACCCAGCTAGCAACCACATCAGTGAAAAGATCGGGGCACGCAGAGTTCCCGACCCACAGCAAGACCTGTTTGAAAGGCCCTGCTGTAAACTGGCTGATAGTTGGGAACTTGAGATAAACTATCCCAAGGGAATCCCACCACTGGCTTACCCAGTGGATCCAGTTCATGTGTGCTGAGGGCTCCGTGAGTTTATCTCATTAATGCATACCACAAATCCGTAAGTACTTCCACCATTCCCCTCGATTTCACAGACAATAAAACTAACATTGGAGTTCAAGGGACTTTCCCAAGGTCATACAAACAACAACAGTTAGTAGAACCTGAATTTGAACCTAGGCCAGGACTGCTCCACAGTACTGCTGCCATCCCGGAAAGAGTGGCTGAATCAAACCTATTTTCCCAAATCTATGCAAAAATGAGGGCCAACTTCCAATCAGAGATGTCATGCCCTCCCTGCTGGCCACTGTTGGGGCAGCAAGACCGGGTTCCCTGAGGCAGAGAGGGGTCTCATGTTTTGCCCAGGGACTCCCTAAGACGAGAACCAGGAAAACAACCCCAGAGGGCTCTGGAATACGTGAACCAAAGGGTATCTGTGTTTGATTTTCACAAGCAAGCCCTACCTCAGTTAAGGGCCCCATGTATTTCCAAGTAAAGAAAAGTCCATACTACGAATCACAGCACAGTCGCTCAGACATGCACAGGACTTCCCTGGCGGGAGCACAAAGTGCCATTGGAGTTCAGTGACATTTTTATTCCTTTTTTTTTTAGATGTCTTACTCTGTCACCCAGGCTGGAGGGTAGTGGCGCAATCTCAGCTCACTGCAACCTCTGCCTCCCGGGTTGAAGTGATTCTTGTGCCTCAGTTTCCCAAGTATCTGGGACCACAGGTGCACACCACCACACCTGGCTAATTTTTGTTTTGTTTTGTTTTGAGATGGAATCTCTGTCCCCCAGGCTGGAGTGCAACAGTGCAATCTCGGCTCACTGCAACCTCCGCCTCCCGGGTTCTAGTGATTCTCCTGCCTCAGCCTCCTGAGTAGCTGGGATTACAGGTGCCCGCCACCACTTCCAGCTAATTTTTGTATTTTTAGTAGAGATGGGGTTTCACCATGTTGGTCAGGCTAGTCTCGAACTCCTGATCTCAGGTGATCCACCCATGTTTTTAAAGATGTAAGTTCACGTTCATTGTAACAAGACCTCACCTTTATCTCCCTGCAGGGCAATAATGAAACTAATCTATCCTCCAATAAACTTAGTCAATGATTAACAAATCAGTGTCAATCGAGTCATCATAAACTGGAGAAAGTGGTGATAAAGAAACAAAAAGTTGCAATGTCACATTACTCCACAGTGGATAAAAAGGTTATTCATTGATGAGATGAAGAGATGATTAATTACTTTGGGCAGGTGGACTGAGGGAGACCAGCCAGCACTTGCCTGGGGCTCGCAGTGGGAACCAAACACTGGGGCCAAGATGGGTGACTTTTTTTTTTTTTTTTTGAGATGG